CTGTGCATGGCTGTGTCCCAATAAAACTTTATTAACAAAAAGAGGGAGCAGCCCAGATTGGGCCTGTGGTCTTTAGTTTGTTGACTCTTGTTGTAGAAAGACAATATGCAAAGATAAACCTCATCAAATACTAAGACTATCTCATTGTAGTACTTTTTTTTCCATCTTTGGATTTTTAATAAACATGACTTCAGATTTATATACGTGTGTGTATATATGTGTATATAAACCTGGGGGTGTGCCTCAAAACAAACTGCTCAGATTTCTACAGCACTTACAGTTTCCAGGCATACTGGCCCAGCTTCCAACTCCCACACTTACAACTCATTGCCTGAAGGTTTTCTCTGGCTACCAGAGCTGCTAGGCTAAGCATGAGGAAGAGGGCAGGTGTGCAGGGAAATTAATATGACCCTCCCCTCCCCCAAGCTCCCAACGGATGATTGACAGGACTTGGTGGATAAGTATCCCAGCACTCTTAGCGCGAGTCCCTGAGTTCCCCAGAGGGGTTAAGTCTAATTGTTTGCAGATGTAACTTGCTTCACGGTGCACTCTTTATTGGCTTACCTTCTCTGTCTCATGTGCCCCTTTACCTCCAAGTCCATGGGCGCCTCCCAAATCATCTACTTAAATTCTTGTATTTGCTTCTGGAGGAATGCAAACCAAGACAGTATTTTTGGTCTGGAGGATATAAACTCTACATGTGAATATGTAGAAACTCCTGCAGATAACCTTTCTTCAATGTGGGGCAGCACTGCCTTTGTGGAACTGATTACAGAAGATTTTATTTGGGTGCAGAGACCCAATAACGGAAAACATTTTTCTTAACTATTGACAGATTTTCCTATTTTTTTCATTAGCTTCTGTAGTAGAATCCATTGATCCCTTTCTGACCCTCCTGTAGCTGCAGACAGTGCCACCTGCCTTCATCTGAGGCACCCGTGTCCATTTCTTTTCTTCTCCCTTTGATGGTTTGAGCTGAGCACAGGTGCAGCCTGGACATGTTGAGTGATCCACGTTGATGGGAGTCTGGAGAAATGGGCTTTCTGGGATGGGATTAGAGAGGTAAGGGTGGAAAGGTCGGAGAGGAGATGGGGTCTGGTCATGAGGGGCCCTGAGTGACTGGTTGAAGAATTTGGGTTTCATCTTCTATCCTGAGTTGAGCCACAGACAATTTTTAAGGAAGCAGTGGCGAGACTGTTCAATGACATCAGTAAGTACTCATTGATAGCCTACAATGGGCTAGGTATTGTGGACAGGTGTGGCAGTGGACAGGAAGGTGCTGAAAAGCCTCCTCCTTCCTGAGCCCTCTCCTGTTACCCAGATCCCCGTCCCCTCCCTCCTCTGCAGCCCACTATTCCTCCTGATATGCCTCAAGCACTTTAGTGTACTTAAGTGACCACCCGTCTCCACTACCGCCCGTCTTACTCACCTCCACATCAAACTTTGTGCTACAGTTAGCACAAATGAATGGTATTTCATTGGGAAAATATAGTAAAACGGTCAGGGCCCCTCAGATGTTCAGAATCTTGCCGAGCATTTTATGTAATTGCGAATGTGCACCCAGGTGTCCTGGGTTATGGATTTAAGTAAAACGGGTGAGTAGCCTTGATCCACAGGGTCCTCCACCCCCGGGATGCTTCCGGGGGGGCCTTGGGGAGACAGCTACTGCTGCTGGAGGCTGTTGCTGCCAGGGCCCCCAGGACCTTCCAAGAGGCCGCCGCCACCACCAGACCTGTGAGCTGCTGCTGCCATTGCTGAGGACTGAGCTCGCGTCATCTGCCAACCGCTCCCGGGATCTTTCCCAATTACCTAGAGTGGACCTGCGAGTGAGGGGTCTGTGACCCATCCTGGCATGGGAGGGGTCTGGTGACCCAGTCTGAACAATGATGTCGTCTGCCAACCGCTCCCGGGATCTTTCCCAATTACCTAGAGTGGACCTGTGAGTGAGGGGTCTGTGACCCATCCTGGCATGGGAGGGGTCTGGTGACCCAGTCTGAACAATGGGTTTGAAAGGTCTGAGCCTCAGCCCTGACAATACAAATAGAAACTTAGTATAACTGAAACAAGGAAACATTTTGGCTTTAGCTATGATTTGCCTTACTTGACAACTGGCGTAGTCGTGTAGCTTGACAGTCTTCCCCCCACTTTTTTCTACATGTTCAATAAGAACATGGAGCTCAGCCTTCAGTGGGGAGAAGTCAGTGTGCCACCATGCTTCCCCAGAGGGGCGTCTTCTTAACCAAGGAGCGTCGAGCATCTTCACCCTCACGCGTGAGAGCCTCCAAGCTGTGCAAGCACGAGTTGTTGGAGCTGTTTCTTTCCCCTCCACCAGATGAGTGCTAGAGTCACTGCTCTACCCCTCGGTCTAGTGATTCCCAGGCTTTTCTGAGTAAGAGGAACTGCATTAAGTATTTCCTTGTGAAAACCCTCAAACACACACAAAAGTAGTTATTAGTGAAAATAGTAATAAAGAATCCCCATACACCTTTCTCTTAGATTCTACAATTATCTAGAGTTTCCTATTCTTGTTTCCTCTATTCTTTTTTTTTTCCTTTTTGCTGAACTATTTAAATGACAATCGCAGCCATCCTTGTTTTTTTTTTTTTTTTTTTTTTTTTTTTTTTTTCTGCTGCTGCCATTGCTGAGGACTGAGCTCATGTCGTCTGCCAACCGCTCCCGGGATCTTTCCCAATTACCTAGAGTGGACCTGCGAGTGAGGGGTCTGTGACCCATCCTGGCATGGGAGGGGTCTGGTGACCCAGTCTGAACAATGGGTTTGAAAGGTCTGAGCCTCAGCCCTGACAATACAAATAGAAACTTAGTATAACTGAAACAAGGAAACATTTTGGCTTTAGCTATGATTTGCCTTACTTGACAACTGGCGTAGTCGTGTAGCTTGACAGTCTTCCCCCCACTTTTTTCTACATGTTCAATAAGAACATGGAGCTCAGCCTTCAGTGGGGAGAAGTCAGTGTGCCACCATGCTTCCCCAGAGGGGCGTCTTCTTAACCAAGGAGCGTCGAGCATCTTCACCCTCACGCGTGAGAGCCTCCAAGCTGTGCAAGCACGAGTTGTTGGAGCTGTTTCTTTCCCCTCCACCAGATGAGTGCTAGAGTCACTGCTCTACCCCTCGGTCTAGTGATTCCCAGGCTTTTCTGAGTAAGAGGAACTGCATTAAGTATTTCCTTGTGAAAACCCTCAAACACACACAAAAGTAGTTATTAGTGAAAATAGTAATAAAGAATCCCCATACACCTTTCTCTTAGATTCTACAATTATCTAGAGTTTCCTATTCTTGTTTCCTCTATTCTTTTTTTTTTTCCTTTTTGCTGAACTATTTAAATGACAATCGCAGCCATCTTTTTTTTTTTTTTTTTTTTTTTTTTTTAATGGCAGAAACCAGTTTAAATGTGTGTAGTTTCAATGGGGACACTGAACTCAAACGTGTGTTTTATTCTTAGAGTTCTGGTTCTAGTCTTTGAAAATTTGGCCGAAAGGTTAAAGCATCATGAAAAATAAAACTACAGGTGTAAACCTGCAACCTTTTTACCTCTTACAGCTTTGGCCTTATTACCTCAAGCAGCAAGTCTACCTCTTTTCCCTCGGCGTGCTGAAACTAAAGAGTAAGTAGTTGATTCTCACTGTTCCTTCCACTAATTTTCAGCAGGGTAGGGCCAATTCACTGCTTGTTTTAGGCTTAAAACTCCCCCTGAAGTGCAGGGATGAAGGCTGATGTGTAATTGAAATTGCTGGATATTGTGTGCATAAGATGGGAGAGTGAGTTGAATTTCATGGGCTTTTCTGGAGCTTTCTGAAAATGCTGGCATTTTCTGGGAAGTTGACTGTATGCTTATTGAGAAAGAGACTTCTCTTCAGTATGGTGTGACATTCTACAAAAATCAATGATTTAGAAACAGGTATCTGAAATGAAACGTGCAACTTTCCATTTGTCGGAAAGCCTGCTGGGCTGGTTTTGAAATCTTCATACATGTTGGGTATACCTTCAGGGTGCAAACATTTTATTGACTCTGCACTTTGGAACAAGTAACAAATATCTTTTGGAATGTGACAAAAACTAAAATAACAACCTAGTCCTATATTTCCAAATTGATTTTGTGGTATTTACTTAATTTGCTGTTTACTTTTAGTACTACTGTTTACTTTTTTCATTCTATCTTGGAAGTTTTTCATCTTAGACTTGGTTACCTCATCTAGTGGAAGGGATGGTAATGAACGTGGCTTAGAGCTACTTATCCACGTGTCAAGTTGAAGCTTGTTCTTTGATTATTAGAGGTAGTGAAGCTTATAGGAACACAATGATGTTTTAATTTGAATTTTGAAAATTAAAGAAGCTAGGTACTAAATATTGACACAGTGGAGAGGGACAGGCTCAACCTACTTTCCAATCCAGTCCCTTTCCCCACTGAGATACTAAAGAATTTCTACATCTTCTTTGAAGTCCTTAAAATATAAAAGGATTAACTTTGAAAGTTACTGATAAGGGGGGAGAGAAAAATAGGGAAGAATATAGAAAGACTCTACTAAAAACTCAGTACAGGGCAAGCACTTAATTCCATCTCACAATAACAAGAAGAAAGCATTATGGAGATTGAGCAGCGGGGCCCATTTATATAATAACTTCCTAGCAACAGCTGTAATGAACAATTACAGGCCGCTGCCTCAGTTCTTTGAGATACTACCTCATGTCAGAGCTAAGAGAAAAGGGATAAAAGAAAGCAACAATTAAATATCTGAGTTGCCCTGAATTTGGCTTATGTTGTATGTAGTTTCAGACCAGGTCTCTCCATCTTGGTTATGGGGGCTTAAAACTGGTCTGGCAAAAGGGAAGTGACCAGGTGAGACAAATGTCATCACCATCCAGGGAACGGCTGCTTACAGGTCTACCTTTTCTGGAAACGGGTGGGCAAAGGCTGATGCCTGTCAGTTTTCTGGTTTGGCTTGAACATCATTCACGTCCAAACCATCCTCCTGTTCCTCACGTTGCCGCTGTCGTTTGTTCATTGCTTCCTTACTCCACGTCATATTTCCTTCAACCTGCACCACACTCCTGAAGAGTAGATAAGATCATATCCATGTTATAGAGGAGGAATCTGAGGCTGACAGTAGGAAAACTGGCCGAAACCTAACAGTTAGTAATCAAAGTGATAGTAGTTCATTTTTATTGAGCATGTACTGGGCCGTGTGCCGCGTCCCCTGCTAAGTGCGCTGCATGGATTGTCTGAGGTTACTACACTCATCACAGATGGGGAGAGAGAAAGGCAGGGGAGCGGGATAATCTGCCCAAGGTCGTACAGGGGCTAAGAGCAGAGCCACACCTGGAATTCAAGCAGCTGTGTCAGAAGGTGTGAGCTCTAGGACTTGAACCTAATGTTCTTGATGCAAAGCCTCGCCTCGTACCACAGCAACTCCCTGTGTCCATGGGGCCTGGCAGGGAAGAAGCAACCAGGCCAGTCAGTGATGATCTGACTTGTTTCTCTGTAGTCTTCAGAGGATGTAACATTATTAGAACAGGGAGTCACATTGTGCTTTTGGCCATTGGCCAAGGCCAAGCTTGGGCAAAATCATGGAGAATTTGCCTGTGTGAAACTGTGCATACGTGTGTACAAATGTGTGTGCATGCTTCCTCGTCCTGTGGCACTCCAACTGGACAGTATCTCATGCTCCAGGACTTTCTTCTTGGGCAAAATCATGGAGAATTTGCCTGTGTGAAACTGTGCGTACGTGTGTACAAATGTGTGTGCATGCTTCCTCGTCCTGTGGCACTCCAACTGGACAGTATCTCATGCTCCAGGACTTTCTCTCAATATTTGCTTAACTTATCCTGTGCTTCATTCAGGTAAGTGACTGATCTCTTTGAGAAAATACTTTGTGCCACAGCTTTAACACCTAAGAACTGATCAAAGGCTTCTCGTTCCAGAATGGCACAGTAACTTTTTTTTTAGGCACAGGTGTTTTTAGTGCTTTACACAAAACTAGTGAATTTCAGGTCCCTTGACAGGGAGCTGGAGAAGTTATCTTTAGGTGTATCGTATAGGTACGGTGGGAGTGAGGTGGCTGAGAAAGGATTTTTTTGGAAAGGAGAGAGACTTCTGTCTAAAAATTGTCAAGCAGGCCCATGTTGCTTATTCCACCTGCATGATGATCCGGAGGCCTAATCTTCCCTCCCTCTTGGCTAACAGGAAGATTCAAGGACGGGTATGGATCTGGGGGAGATGTAGCCCAAGGAAAGTGGGTCAGTAGGCTGAGAGACAGGGGACAGATCTCTATTCAATTTCCTAGACTGTGCCCTCTGTCAGAGTTGCCTACAGACACAGTGCCTGTGTGTTCCAATTTTGCAGAATTACCTTCCCTGGTTAGTACCCAATCCCCCAACCCCAGGGTCTGCAGAGATCCTTCCTGATCAACATCCTGTCCCCTTTTCTCCCTCAGTCAAGCTGTTCATCCTCCCTGAACTCTGTCGTGATTTGGGGCACCTGAGGAATTAACCATTTCTCTGGCAGGTCTTTGCTTAACTGCCGGTGAATGGCTCGACCCCCTTTTAAGCTGGCTCCTTGCCCTGGATGCCTTTGAATCACCTTCTCTTAAGAGGGAAAGCTCCTCAGGAGGTACCCGNTGTTTCTCTGTAGTCTTCAGAGGATGTAACATTATTAGAACAGGGAGTCACATTGTGCTTTTGGCCATTGGCCAAGGCCAATCTTGGGCAAAATCATGGAGAATTTGCCTGTGTGAAACTGTGCGTACGTGTGTACAAATGTGTGTGCATGCTTCCTCGTCCTGTGGCACTCCAACTGGACAGTATCTCATGCTCCAGGACTTTCTCTCAATATTTGCTTAACTTATCCTGTGCTTCATTCAGGTAAGTGACTGATCTCTTTGAGAAAATACTTTGTGCCACAGCTTTAACACCTAAGAACTGATCAAAGGCTTCTCGTTCCAGAATGGCACAGTAACTTTTTTTTTAGGCACAGGTGTTTTTAGTGCTTTACACAAAATTAGTGAATTTCAGGTCCCTTGACAGGGAGCTGGAGAAGTTATCTTTAGGTGTATCGTATAGGTACGGTGGGAGTGAGGTGGCTGAGAAAGGATTTTTTTGGAAAGGAGAGAGACTTCTGTCTAAAAATTGTCAAGCAGGCCCATGTTGCTTATTCCACCTGCATGATGATCCGGAGGCCTAATCTTCCCTCCCTCTTGGCTAACAGGAAGATTCAAGGACGGGTATGGATCTGGGGGAGATGTAGCCCAAGGAAAGTGGGTCAGTAGGCTGAGAGACAGGGGACAGATCTCTATTCAATTTCCTAGACTGTGCCCTCTGTCAGAGTTGCCTACAGACACAGTGCCTGTGTGTTCCAATTTTGCAGAATTACCTTCCCTGGTTAGTACCCAATCCCCCAACCCCAGGGTCTGCAGAGATCCTTCCTGATCAACATCCTGTCCCCTTTTCTCCCTCAGTCAAGCTGTTCATCCTCCCTGAACTCTGTCGTGATTTGGGGCACCTGAGGAATTAACCATTTCTCTGGCAGGTCTTTGCTTAACTGCCGGTGAATGGCTCGACCCCCTTTTAAGCTGGCTCCTTGCCCTGGATGCCTTTGAATCACCTTCTCTTAAGAGGGAAAGCTCCTCAGGAGGTACCCGTTTCCCTGCCAGCCTAGGCACCGGGTGGGCATGCGGGGACCAGCCCCAGACCCTGTGGCCTCACACACCTGGCTTCTCATCCGTTCTCTTGCTGGGCCAGTGTTGCTCCCCAGGGCTCTCTGCAGCTCACACCTGAGGCCATTAAGAAAGGCCTAAAGCTTACCTAGCTGCCACACTGGGGGATGAATTATCCACTAAGGACAGTGCTGGGGTGCCCTGAAAAAACAGAGAAAACTGGGCCAGGTAGGTGGTGGGGAACCATGGCGCAGCATCCTCTGTGGAGCTCACCAGGTGTGGGATGCACCGCTTGGCAGCCTCCCCTTGCATGCCAGGGCTGGCAGATCCACTCCCCCATTGCTGCCCTCTAGACAAGAGTTCAGGGGCCAGGGGATCAAGGCTACCTTCTTTCTCAAACTCTGGGGTCTGAAGGTCGTTAAACTTTTGTAAAAAGTTTTTTTCCTCCCCTATTTTCTTTGTCTGTTCCTCACTAATCCCGGAACAGGGATGTGTATCTCTCACTACCTGGGATTTGAAAAATTCTTCTTTGACTTCCAAGCTTTTGCCAGCTTCTGTTTCCATTGCATTAGAAAGTTTTTGCATTTGAGACGTTATGAGATTGTGCTGCAGCAAATGTCTCAATTTTGTTTTGTTCTAGTTGAAAAAATTTTGAAATCTACTTTTGCAGTAAGACCTCCCTCCCTTTTAGAGAAAGTACTTGACAGCTAATAACATCCTATATTAATAGACCAATAATTGCTACATTTCATACCATGTAGGTTTCCCTCTGAAACCTCAATCACATTTGGATATTGTGGTAGGGGGTTAAATCTAGCTACTAATGTGCTGTTCCAGCAAGCATTTCTCCACTTCTAATCTGTTTATTGAACCTCTAAGTAGAAACTTGTGCTCCTCTGGGTAGGAGTGGGGCTTTGAGATTGAGTTGCTTGGTTCTTTAGTGAGTATTCTAAGATCCTGAATTGCATTGAGAGTAGCTACTAATGTGCTGTTCCAGCAAGCATTTCTCCACTTCTAATCTGTTTATTGAACCTCTAAGTAGAAACTTGTGCTCCTCTGGGTAGGAGCAGAGCTTTGAGATTGAGTTGCTTGGTTCTTTAGTGAGTATTCTAAGATCCTGAATTGCATTGAGATGCATTTGTTGGTTTGGGTTTCAGATGAAAGCATGAAATCTCACTGACTTGCTGAACATTGTGGTTTTGAATCAGGGCTTGGGAGACAAAGCTGTGAAACCTCCCAAACCAAAGTTCTTAACAGAAATCACCAGCCAATTTGCATATTGGCTTAGCCTCAAAGTTTTAGCTCAACCCTGTTTAGGTGGCTATGATGTCTTATGAGTATCTTCTGATATTTAACCTAAGGGCCCTTTTGCTGTTTCCAAAATCTGTTGCCCCAGACAACTGAGGCACTTGTGCTATTGTCTGGACAGGATTACTTATGTGCTTAAAGGCTGGCTATCCCCCAGACTAAATAAATCTGGTGTCACCCTCTAAGTTTAAAAAATATTTCTTTGCTGACTTAAATACAAAAAAATGCAAAAAGCTTGGGCTTTCCTTTTATTTACTATTCTCTTTTCAACTCTTGCAAAGTTGTCAACACATACTTCAGTATTCTGCCAGCGACGTTACAGTGGTATTAGTGGTGGCCTCGGTTAGCATCATAAACTTGAATTTACCATTTACAGTAGGGTTGACTGACTTGGTCATGGCCAGACCAAAGGGAGCCAGGCAGACTCTTCACCACACGTGTTACCAGCCTTCCCTCCCTCACAACCCCCTTCTCCTACAGAAGGCAAAACATTCGTCTTAACGGCAAATGGTGAAAAACATGTTTGTTGCTTTTTCTTTAAATGATAAAAGAGAATTGTCAGTTGTCAACAGGTGCAGGTTCCACTGTGCATGCAGGAGGCTCCAGCTGCTGTGGGCATATGCCCGAGTACGTAGGCCAAGCAGCACCTTTAACCACGACCACCCCTGAGCAAAGCCCATTTAGTTCCTGCAGTTGGAATGTTTGGCCAATGTTAGAATCACTACCCAGGAGTTCCCAGGTGACATCTTCACTCCAGAGACTCTTCTAGTTACATAGGAAAATAAAAGGAAAGAAAAAAAGAAAGGGCAGAAGATAAAACTGTGCACTGATCATTGCTCAGGGCTGGACACCTGAAGGCCTAGCTGTTACAGACTTTGTGGAAACATTGCCTTTTCCTCCATGACTGGACAGGAAGAGAACTATCAGGTGATGGTGAAGCAAAAAGAAAGCTGGCATCTTAGACATTTTAAAATAAAGGTTTTGTACCAACAGTGTTACATGTGGCACAGATTTCTTAAGGCCCCTTTAGAAACATAAATGTGCTTTAAGAGAGCCTTATTTTAATTACTTATAGTGCAGAAGTCTCTTCAACTGCTGGTTCGAATTTATGTAAACATCAGACATCGCACAAGTTTTTGATCTTGAACACTGCTGTAACTGAGTATCCCATGTAGAACGTTCAGGTGAGGGGTCACTCCTATTGAAACATGTTCTAACGTCTCTGAGGCAGAAGCCTTTATCTGCTTATCGTTAAGATGTTAGTCATGAGGAAGATTCTTATCTTTCAGACTTTGATAGCTGTTACAAATCTTGCAAGCACTATTTTCTTGTGCTGTTTTTGTCAAATCAAATTTTGTTCTGAGTAATAATTCTCCATCCTGGTCTTATGATATCTCAGGGTGCCTCTAATTCTTTTATTTGGTAATCAAATCTTTCTAATACAATGCTTTATAAAAAAGAAATCACATTCCCCTTGGCTTAAAACTTTCGATAGTTCTCCACTGCATGTTAAGTCTTGCAGTGGAAAGAGATCATAGGGATCCAGTCTCCTGATGGATGTAGAAATTATCTCCCCAACAATCTTCTTCTGTCCCCCGCTCATCACCTCTAGCAGCAGGGACTTTGCTACCTCATGAGGTAATCGGTTTCACTATTG